CGAAGGAAGAACTAAAAGCAAAGTTCATGAAAAGTCTCTTTATGTGGAAGCAATTTCACATTGCCATTCATTTTGGGGGCTAGTTCCCCCCATTTCCTCCCAGTATCTCCATCTGTGATTTCCTTGTGGTCTCCCTTCCAAGTACTAATAAAGCTTGCTCGACCGCTGAGCCCAGACAGAGTATTGGGGAAAACAAAGTAGAAGAGATTGGGAAATAATTTGAAAGGTGCTGTGTTGCCGGATGTTTGAAGGGTGGAAAAATCTCTCCTCCTTCCAAGTGTGATTCATGTTGAACAGGATCTCCCAATTTGACAAATTGGCCAGGCTTAAGTAGACCCTTTTGGATTGCTTTAGATTTTCTTAAGAAGCATCCCTCAGCACCACCCCCTGAGGCCGCTGACTGGATCCCATTTTAGAGGCAAGGCTCTTGAAGTTGAGAGGGAAACGGCAGGCCTCAACAACCACAACTGAAGACAAAAAAAATCTGTTGCGATGAGTTTTGCTCCATTTTATGACCCGGTTGTTAAGTGAACCCATGCTTCCCCATTGACTTGTCAGAAGCTGGCAAAAGGGGATCACGTGACCCTGGGACGCTGCAACCGTCATAAATATGAATCAGTTGCCAAGGGTCTGAACTTCGATCACGTGTCCATGGGGGTGCCACAACGGTTGTGTGGAAAATGGTACGTGCCCTATTTTCCCGAGAATAAGACCCCACTGCAAAATAAGCCTAGCGTGATTTTTCAGGACGCTCATAATATAAGCCCCACCCCCAAAATAAGCCCCAGTTAAGATCATCAACCAGACAGGCGGATTTAGTACCGTATTTCTCCGAAAAGAAGACCTAACCGGAAAATCATCCCTAATGCATCTGTTGGAGCAAAAAATTAATATAAGACCTGGTTTTATTTTGGGAGAAATACGGTAAGTGAGTGCCCTTGCAACTTCCAACGGTCACTAAAGGAATATTGTCGAGGCTACATGTAATCATTGGTGGCAGAAGTGGGATTTCAGCTACGTCTCTTCTCTCCCAAACCCAATTCCCTGCCCGCCTAGGCTTGAGATGTCGGCGGAAATTATCCGGCAGAAAGAACTGGAGAACCTTCACCGCCAGAGGCTCCTGGCTACCGACCCCATGGGTTTGCACCCGGGTCTGCCTCCGGACCACCCCGCCTTGCGCAGCCTCCACGACATCCCGGAAGGACACCCGCTTCGGGACGAGCTCTCCCGGAGGAACGCCATGCTGGTCCTCCGGCACAACAATGCCCCGCTGCTATCGCTCAACCCCCAGGGGGTCCCCACCGCCTCCACCACCCCTCCCAAGGAGCAGAGCACGCGGAGGGGCACCCGGAAGGCCGCGCACTCTCGCTGCGAGGCGCTGGGCCAGAGCGAACCCAAAGACTTGTTAGACAGCCGCCCGCCGGACAGCAACCACGAGGAAATGAAGGACTCGGACAGCGAGGCCGAAGCGAACGACGAGAAACCGGACGCTCTGAAGGCCGAGAACAGCGGCGGGGCCGGCGAGGTTAAGGAGTGCAAGGAGGTGGCAAAGACTGGCGAGGGCACCAAAGAACTGGGTGAGGTGCCAGCTGGGCAGAACACGCCCTGTAGTTCCTCCAGTGTGGAATTGCCTAGCTATCTCCTGGGTCCGACAATGGGCAAGTCGGAGGTCAAACTACTCCCTACGGCTTCCCTTCCACCACCCCAACCGCTCCCGTTCGGTTTCCCGTATACGATGAGTCCGTATTTCCATGCAGGTGAGTGAGCGGGAGGGGATGGCTGGCATACTCAGGTGGGGGAGGACACTTCTTCCCTTCCCTTCCCTTCTTCCCTTCCCTTTTTTTGGAGAAGGGCAAAATGTGCAGAATTCCCAGGTGGAATCTGGCAATCCGACTGGGTAAAATTTCCCCCTTTCTGGAGAGGGGAACCAAAAGCCACCGTCCCCACCTTTCTGAATCATCACCCAGATTTCTTTTGGCTTAAGAAGGTGTGTAAATCCATTTTTTTTTAAAAAAAAAAAATTAGACAAAGGTTGTCTAACCAAAGGCACAGCTGGAAAGCTCTCTCATTCTGCCGAAAAGTTTTGTTTGCAGAAAAAAAAATTCCTCCAGGTCTTTTTTTCCGAGATCGGAACTTCTGCAAGAGAGTTTGAAACTGACCGGTTTGTGTCAGCTCCCCTCAAAGAGTTAAATGCACTTTTTCCCCCTTTAATTTGCAGAATGAGTTTTTACTGAGATGGGTGGAGAGGCAGCGGAGACTCTGTCCAAAATAATTTGTGAACCTTTTCCAGAGATTTATTCCCTCTGTACACACACCCTGTTTTGGTTCCCTCATCTGTGTGACTCGTTAAAATGTTGTTCATCACATTCCCAGCCCGAGAAGTTAGTGGGGAAAAATGTGTCTCATAGTCCTGCTTCTGCTTTGTCTGAAGAGAGAAATCTGGTCATTTCCGATAATTTCCTAGATAAATCCATGCAGCTTTCTCGGCAGCAGAAAAAAATTTTGTTTCCCCTCCTGGAGTTTCTGAATGGCTTTTCATTCAAGTCTTCAACAGATATTTAAGGTTTTTTTTTTTTCAGGAGAGAGCTTAAAAGGTAAAGACAATTGGAATATTTTCGAGCTTCGTTTTTTTTCTCTGGGAACTCCTGGTGGTCTTCCATCCAATCCAGTCAGCTTTGTTTTCCTCCGCACAGCAGCCAATGCAACAGTTATTGTACTGTCCTATATATATCCGGGGGGACCTCAAAGGCTTGAGTTGAATACCTGGAGATAGTCCTTGACTTACCACCACAAGTTAAGTTAGCAACACGGTTGTTGAGTGGATCTCGCTTCCCTGTTGACTTTGCTTGTCCGAAGTTCACAAATCACCTGACCCCGGGCCACCGCGAAACCGTCATAAATCTGAGTCCGTTGCCAAGGATCTGAATTTTGATCCCATGACCACGGAGATGTTGCAAGTGGTCGTAAGTTTGGAAATTGGTTGTGAGCCCCTAATTTTCAGGGCCGTCGTAACTTTGAACTTTCTTGGAGCTGAGCAAAATGTGGATCTTTTGGGGATGGCTTTTCGGGGAGGTCCACATAACCCCGGTGGGAAAACGGAGCAGAAGAAGGGAAGACGCTCTTTGTAAAATGGTCTCCGCCACTCCGAAGTAACTCCGCTGGTCCCAGCAAGACGGAGACCTGATTCTTTAGAGCCGTTTGAGAGAAAAATTGTGGATTGTTGGGTTAATTCCTTGGTCCTGTTATAAAAAAAAGATCTCTGTCAAGGACCTTCTCCGTGCCCTCTGGGGAGGGTGATGGATGGCTAAAATTCTTGCATCGATCTGGCAAGTCTGCAGAGCAATTAGCGCTAGCTTCAGAGAGCCTTGCGTTGACCCCCATCCACCCGTCAGACCGAGAGATCCCTCGATCCCTCGATGGATTAAACACCTCTGTGGGCAGGTGGGCTGAAGAGCTGGTGGATCTCTGCATCTGGGTCTGGTTGGAAAAGAAGAAGAAGTCCAGAAGGAAAGCCACGTTGGTCCGTGCGACCAAGAACCAGAGCAATCTTAGCACGCTTTCCAAGTTGCAAAGCAGAAGTTCTGGTGATGTAGCTGAATGGGGTTTGCAATGCCTCGCTTGAGCGTCTGCCTTCGAGTTACGCCCGATTGTCCAAAGAGGAAGAAGAATGGATTGGGTCGAAGAAGAAAAAAACAAGGGGTAATGAACGTGCAAAGGAAGATAAGGCCACACTTGGAATGCTGCATCCAGTTTTGGTCACCACGATGTAAAAAAGATGTTGAGACTCTGGAAAGAGTGCAGAGAAGAGCAACAAAGATGATCAGGGGACTGGAGGCTAAAACATAGAAAAAACATTTGCAGGAATTGGGTCTGTCTAGTTTAAAGAAAACAAGGAGTAGGGGTGATAGGATAGCAGTGTTCCAATATCTCAGGGGCTGCCCCAAAGAAGAGGGAGTCCAGCTATTCTCCAAAGCACCAGAAGGCAGGACAAGAAACAACGGATGGAAACTAATCAAGGAGAGAAGCAACCTGGAATTAAAGAGGAATTTCCTGACTGTTAGAACAGTTAACCAGTGGAACAGCCTGCCACCAGAAGCTGTGAATGCTCCAACACTGGAGATTTTTAAGAAAAGACTGGACAGCCATTTGTCTGAAATGGTATAGGGCAGAACCCAAAACACTCAGAGAGCCACTTGGACCCGTTTCCCACCGAAAACAAAACACTGGGAGCCGTAAAACCCTTTTGATATCTAAAATGAAGATAACACTGCATATATCCTTTTTTACCTTTATTACAGGTATATACATATACATACACACACACACACATATATATATACATACATATATCAATAAAAGTATAGAAAAACAAACACCAGGATAAAAATAAACAAGACCGTTTAATATAAACAAACTTGTAAGTAAAAAGAGTTACTGAGCATATGTATACATACATATACATACATACATACATACATACGTATGTCTCTATCTATCTATCTATCTATCTATCTATCTATCTATCTATCTATCTATCTATCTATCTATCTATCTATCTATCTATCTATCTATCTTTGAGTTTGGTGCACCCTGTCGGCCCAAATATATATAATAAAGGTAAAAAAGGATATATGCAGTGTTATGTTCATTTTAGATATCAAAAGGGTCTCTGTCTCTCCCTCCCTCTCTCCCTCTCTCTTTCTGCTCTTAGTCTGCCAGTCTCTCTTTCCCTTTCTCTCTTTCTCTCTCTCTTTCTCTCTTCCCTCCTTCTCTCCCATCTTCTGCTCACCTGGCCAGCTGGCTTCAAGCTGTTCTCCAACCAGCTCGGGGGGAGGCGACCTGGGCTCTTTTATGACTCCTGGACTTCAACTCCCAGAATTCCTGAGCCAGCATGGCTGGGCTAGCTAGCTCCTCCCCTTCCTGCTTCCTGCAGGAGACGCAGCCGAGGGAGGAGCCACGCCCAGTAAGCTTTTCACCTCGTGGGAGGAGGCCGTGAGTCCCCTCTCTTTTTTACTTACACACACACACAAACACACACACAAACACACATACACAGAGAGGGAGGGAGAGAGAAAGGAAGGAAGGAAGGAAGGGGAAGCGCAAGTGCCTCTCTCTGTCTCTGTCTCTTTCTGCAAATGGCGGCGGAGGCTGAAAGAGCCACGTGCGGCTCCGGAGCCACAGGCTGCAGACCTGTGAGTTAGTCTGTTCTCTGAGACCCATGTCACAATTTTTGTCTTCAGGCCTTCCTTCCTTCCTTATTTCCTTCCTTTCTTATTTCCTTTCTTACTTACTTACTTCTTCCCTCCCTCCCTCCCTCCTCCTTTCATTTTTTTCTTCTCTTTCATTTTTCTTTCCTTCCTTCCCCCCTCTTTTTTCCTCCCTCCCTCCCTCCCTTCTTTCCTTCTTTCCTTTCTTACTTCTTCCCTCCCTCATCCTCCTTTCATTTTTTCTCCTCTTTCATCTTTCCTTCCTTCCCCCCTTTCTTTCCCTCCCTCCCTTATTTCCTTTCTTTCCTTTATTACTTACTTCTTCCCTCCCTCCTCCTCTCATTTTTTCTTCTCTTTCATTTTTCTTTCCTTCCTTCGCCCTTTTTCCCTCCCTCCCTGCCTTATTTCCTTTCTTTCTTGCTTCTTCCCTCCTTCCTCCTCCTTTCGTTTTTCTTCTCTTTCATTTTTCTTTCTTTCCTTCCCTCCCCCCTCTTTTTCCCTCCCTCCCTCCTTCCTTCCTTATTTCCTTTCTTACTTCTTCCCTCTCTCCTCCTCCTTTCGTTTTTCTTCTCTTTCATTTTTCTTTCCTTCCTTCCCCCCCTCTTTTTTCCTTCCTTCCTTCCTTCCTTCCTTCCTTCCTTCCTTCCTTCTTCTGAGCTTCCCGTTGAGAAAAATGGCTCCCCAGATGCTCATCAGATCAAGCATCAAGTCAAAGATGCCTTAAGGCTGGGGGTGGGGATGGGGAGGGAGGGAGGAAATTAGGGAAAGGAGGAAAGATAAAACAGAGAGAAAGAAGGAAGGATAAACGGTGCCAGGGAGGGAAAGAAGGAAAAAAAAAAAAAGAGCAGGTAGTAAGAAAGCAAGGTCCTAATGGTGAGGATGGATCACAGGCTTACTTTTTCATCCCTGTGGTCAGTGCAAAAACCGGGTCCCAAAAGGAGTGGCTTTTTTCTTGGGAAATATAATTTCTCCCCTTGTTAGGGTGATGGATTAGTCCTTGCTTATCCACCCCGTAATTCTGCCTCGCCCTTCTAACGGCCTCACCCTCACTGGTGGGGGGGGACCCCTTCTGCTATCCCTGCCCCCCCTTCTTCGCCCGAAAAGCACTCAAAACATGTTGAAATCATTAGTGCCTTTGACACACACACACCCTCCCCTTCCTCCAAGGCTTTCCTCCCCCCTTCCCCACCACACCACACCCCCCACCTCCAGGCTAGGAAACCCCCCCTGGCGGAGTTCGCCTCCGAATTGACCCTGCCTGGGATTTTAATTGACAGTTCATTAAAGATGGATGCGTGGCTGGAGGGAAATTCAGGAACGGAGAGGGGGGGGAGAGAAAAAGCTTTGTGATTTATTTTTCCACTTTTCCTTCGCTGCCGCCTCCGCTCACCCCTGTTTTCCCATCTCTCCCAACCCTCCCCTTCCCCCCCTTTTTTTTTGCTCCTTCCAGGCACGATGGGAGGTCTCTTCCTGGACGGGGAGGAGACCCCGGCCACCACCACCGCGTTGCAAGACGTCAGCAAATGGACCGTGGAGGACGTCTGCAGTTTTGTCAGCTGCCTCTCCGGTTGTGCTGAATACACTCAGGTGGGTTGCCACTGGGTCCCCTAACAGTGCAGAAAGGGCAAAAAAAAACCCCACACTCAACACAACACTCCCCCTTGCGTGTGTACACCATCTAAAAACAGTTTCAGGAAATCAAAAACTCTCAAAATCTTTTACGGCTGCCTGTTTAGCCCGTTTGACGAGTCCAAGGCACTACATACAGGCGTCTCTCGTAGTCCTCGACTACCCCCAAATTTCCGTTGCTAAACGAGACAGTGAAGTGGGCTTTGCCCCAGTTTACGACCTATCTTGCCACAGTAATATGCTGGTTAAGTGAACCTGGCTTCCCTACCAGCTTTGGATTGTGGGAAGGTCGTAAAAGGAGATCACGCGAGGCCGGGACGCTGCAACGGTCGTAAATATTGAACCGGTTGTTGCCGAAAGTCTGAATTTTGATCACGTGGCCGTGAGGATGCTGCAACGATGACGTGAAAAATGGTCCTGTCAGTTTTTTTCAGTACCCGTTGTAACTTTGGTCCTGAATGAATGGACTAGAGTCAAGGACTAGAGAGAATTGCCTGGTAAGCTTCGTGGTGGAAATCTGAGTCCCTTGAGCCCCAATTTCTGGATGGCAACCTCATCCTCACCACACTGGTCCTTTTCATTCGCTGTGTGAATTACACACTAAGCCTTTTGATGGGACCTGGAGTGCTGCTTCCCCCAGCATTTTGGAATCTGATCCGAACCGTCTGAGGTTTTGCCGCTTTTTAATCACAGGGGCTAGGAACTTGGTTACTCCCTTAAAAAGACACTCTCTCGAGCCTCTTTATTTTATTTATCCAATTTATACCCTGCCCACTTCGTCTAAGACACTGGGCGGCTTAAGAACAGCAACGGCACTTAGACTTATATCCCGCTTCGCGGTATATAAGCGTTTTACAGAGTCAGTTTTTTCTCCCCAACGAAAGATTAAAAAAAGCCGTGTAGCCATATAAAAGGGACATAGATAAAAACAAAAACCACAAATATTAACAAATTTCAGGGGGGTTGTTTGTGCCCTGAAACCACCTAACCCTAAAAGGATTCGTCTACGGGCTTTGAACCAGGATGGGATTTCCTGATTTTGTATTCTAGAACTTGGCAGAAGTTTTAAAAAGTGGGGGAATGATATTTCCAGACCCGGAGGGAGGATCACCCCCACGTTGGCTGAGCTTGTCTAATAAAAGCAGTGGCTGAGGAAAGTCCCAATTTTTCCCCCCCCTCCCCTGAGAGATGGAGCAGACAGGGGGAGAGGGACGGGAGGAATGCCCCAAACCCATCCATCACTCCCGGGGTGAGTGGGTGGGAAAGCGAGGCTGCCAGCTGGAAGACAAAGTGCTTGTTAACTTGGCTTCCGAGTTAGCACATTGTGGCTTATAAAATGCCCTTTTGAGAACTCCAGCTGCAGGGGGGGGGGGGAGGCAGGCTGGAAACATCTGGATTCTTCTGTCCCTGGGGAAGCAGGAGAGACCGGCTGGGAAAGAAGGGGCTTAATGCCAAGGAGGCAGGATCAGAAGAGAGATAGATGGCTTTCTCTTCAATTCTCTTGTTTTTGTTTTGTTTTGAAAAAAGGCTGGGACTTCAGTGGTCCACCAGCAGTTTTATTGCCCCCCTTTTTGTGTTTTCCTAAGAATAACAGAATTGGAAGGGACCTTGGAGGTCTTCTAGTCTAACCCTCCCCCTACATACAGAAGTGCTCCCTAGCCAAGGAGCTGGATTCACACAGGGTGATGAGACACCCCGTGGCTTGCTTTTGGCTTGGCTCCACGCAGGAAGCCAGCAATTGTGGTTTGTAAGCCAGGATGTGAACCAAGACTTCTTCAACCAAGAATTAAAGGGTGATGTGAATTACCAGCTAACCTGAATTGAGGTCTGTGAAAAATAAAGGCTGTTAGCCAACTTGAGACATGTGGACTTCAACTCCCAGCATTCCCTAGACAGCATGCTGGCTGAGGAATTCTGGGAGTCGAAGTCCACCCATCTTAAAGCATGGCTGGCTGGGGAATTCTGGGAGCTGAAGCCCACACATCTTAAAACCCATTGGCTGAGGAATTCTGGGAGTTGAAGTCCATCCATCTTAAAGCATGGCTGGCTGAGGAATTCTGGGAGTCGAAGTCCACCCATCTTAAAACCCATTGGCTGAGGAATTCTGGGAGTTGAAGTCCATCCATCTTAAAGCATGGCTGGCTGAGGAATTCTGGGAGTTGAAGTCCACCCATCTTAAAACCCATTGGCTGAGGAATTCTGGGAGTTGAAGTCCATCCATCTTAAAGCATGGCTGGCTGAGGAATTCTGGGAGTTGAAGTCCACCCATCTTAAAACCTATTGGCTGAGGAATTCTGGGAGTTGAAGTCCACCCATCTTAAAACCTATTGGCTGAGGAATTCTGGGAGTTGAAGTCCACCTATCTTAAAACCTATTGGCTGAGGAATTCTGGGAGTCGAAGTCCACCCATCTTAAAACCCATTGGCTGAAGAATTCTGGGAGTTGAAGTCCACCCATCTTAAAGCATGGCTGGCTGGGGAATTCTGGGAACTGAAGCCCACCCATCTTTAAGGGACCAAGCTAGAAAAACACTGATTTATATGGCAGTCCCATCTCTCCATTGCAACCTTCTGGGGGTGTGTAGAACAACGGCTTGTTTGGGGAAAGGAATTGTGGCTGTCCATTTTGAGCCAAGTCGCAGCCTGGTCTTGCTATTTGACAGGTCTTCCGGGATCAGGCCATCGATGGCGAGACGCTGCCCCTCTTGACGGAAGAACATTTACTCAACCACATGGGCTTAAAACTAGGCCCAGCGTTGAAAATACGGTCACAGGTAAGAGGCCGTTCGAAATAAAATTAAACGAAAGCGTACGAACAAAAAAAAAATTCATCAAACTCTCACACTATACACATACGTGGCTAATTGTTTCTGTTTGGAAAAAAAAAGGCAAACCACGGTTGCTCTCTGGTTTATCAGCAGTGACTCATTCTTTTGGGGAGGGTCTCTTCAAAATGCAAAAGCTTAGAGGTAGGCCTGGGCTTAAATCATGGTTTACTCTGTGTTCTTTAACCTTGGCACGCACACAAAGTTGCCAAGGGTGAAAGACGCTGGTTTTGCTGTCCATGTGCTAAGCCGTAAACCACGGTTCATAAACTACGGTGGTTGAGCTGGGCAGCTACTAAGTTTAGTTTTTTTTTTATTGTTTGTTTATATCGAGCCCTGCAGTTCAATATAATTTAACTTTTTGGGGTTTCTTTATTATTTTATTTTTAAGCTGCCCATTAGCCAAAGTGCTCTGGCGATGCGCAGTAAAACCCAGCGCGATGGAATAAAATCCAACAAAATGCAAAACTAGGAAGCAGCAAGACAGCCATCCAAAAATTAGAACCCTACCCAGTGAAAATGCAGTTTAAAACCCCAGGTAACAGTCAAGGAGACGTAACCTGGTTTATGAGGGAATCTCTTCCCCATGTTTGCAAGCCTGGAAAATCTGGCTACCAGGCTTTGAGTTGGCCTGGTGAAGTGGGAGAGAAATTACATTTTTCAGTGCTGCTCTAAAAAGGAAAAATCAAGCCCTTGAATATAGAAAAGTAGCTGATGGAACAGGCTAGCTATGATACTGCAAGAAAACCACCAAGCAAATCTAAATAAACATAAACATACAAGCTTTACTTACGGTAAACAGACAGTTCTCAACGTTTGTTCTGAAACATTTGTTAGGTGAGTTTTGCCCCATTTTATCGCTGTTCTTGCCACAGTTGTTGTGAATCACTGCACTTGTTAAGGTGGTCACATAGTGGTTAAGTAAATCTGACTTCTTCCCCATGGATTTTGCATGTCAAAAAATTGCAAAAAGCGATCCCGTGACCGTGGGACACAGCAACCGTCGTAAGTATGAAGCAGTTGCCAAGCATCTGAATTTTGATCCCGTGATCATGGGGATGCTACTACACAGGTCGTGTGACTTTTCACAGGTCACTTTTTTAAGTGCGGTTGTGACTTTGAACAGTCACTAAATGGACTGTTGTAAGTGGAGAATTTGCCTGTATTGCATTCTTTTTCTTTTCAACCCAAATCAGGAAAGCACTGGAGGTAGCCTCATCCCTGCTAGTTGAGTTTATGCCATCCTCCTCTATTGAGCTGAAGGCTGCCCATTAAGCAGTAACCTGGGTTAAGAGTGTTGTGTGAACGTAACAGCCAAGGTGGTTTGCTTGCCACGCCCGCCATAAATTTCCTTCGGCGATTTTCGCAGACTGCCAAAGTCCAGTTCACCATGGTTGAGTCAGCCCGTCCTGCTTTTTTTAACTATTGCAGCTTCGTAGAAATGCATGCATCCAATCTGGGTTTGCTGCCAAGGTGATAGAACATTTGGGTTTAAAGGCCTCCGTTTGTGTCTTAAGGTTGGATTTTTGAGGGTGGCCTCCCCCAAATCTGCAAGGCCTGTGCCCTTTGCCAGGTGCCCCACAATCCAATTTCCCCTTGTGTGCTATTAACCAGCTGCTCAGGTGCTTTGGGCCAATCTCTGCATGCTATCCTGCTACAAACAGGATGATTTTGAACCTTTTTTATTTTTCTTTTTAAATGCGCTGGCTTCAAAATTCTTCCCGTTTCCCTGCCGCTTTGTGTGTCCCTCCCCAGATCCCTTCTTGGCCTGCGTAGGTCCTTGTAGATCCCACGGGTGGCATGGGGGTGGGTGGGTTTCCTGTTCTCCCGCTTCCTCTGAGTCACGTTTATTTCCAGCGCAATCGTTCCACAGGGAACAATTGCCCAAAGAACCGTTTTATTAGATCCCTCGTAAACAGCCGAGGCTTGGGGGAAAGTAATAAAGCTGCCCTTATCGTTTTAACATAATAAAACAAATGTGTTGGGAGGGGGGGGCGGAGAGGAAGGTGAGTCTGCATTGGTAAACAATATTTATTGCTCTGTGCCTGGTTTGCACCAGAGGTAAGCAAACCACCTTGGCTGTGCGTTCACACAACACCCTTAACCCAGCGGTCCAAGATGGTGCAGGTGTGACGTGACTTGGAAGGTTTCCCCCACCTACAAGCTTTGGAGGGTCACCTGTTCAGGTAGAAGAGCCCAAGAAAGGCAGAGCAGAACTGGCAGGACCAGAGAGAGGGAGGCTTCAGGAGTTTGGGATGAAGCAGGATGGCTGTTGCGATGGATATCTTCGGAGTCCCAGATTTCTGAAGATGTGCTTTTGACCCAAGAGGTGTGCCCGGATCTGCAGCCAAGGCTTTGGGTCTCCTTTCAAAGTGCCACCCCCCCTACACACACACATACACACACACACGTTGAATTTCCACATTTGCAACCTTCGATTTGGTTGCTTAGACAGACTCCATCCTGGAAAACCACCACTGATTTATGAGCTTGGTGGTTTTCATTACCTTTGTAGGTAACATCATCAGTGCAACAAACTCAAGAGAGCACCAAGGACCCCACAGTCATTGTTCTCTCCTCCTCCTCCTCCCACACCCCACTCCCTTCTAGCACTGAGGATGTTACTTAGTTGGGTAATGAAACGTCTGCAAGAAAACCACCAAACTCAGAGAGCACCAAGCACCTCACAATTCAGTCCTGAGCTACAAATATTCTATTTTCTCTCATTTTTCACTTGGAGGTTGAGCCCCTTGAGGTTCCCCCCATCTTTTGCCCCTTAACCGCACCCGTAAGACTTTAAAGCCCCGGGCTGTTCCTTCTCTACGCTTCAGCTCCGGAAGAAGCGTAGATGATGTTGAATCTCAAACGCTTTTATTTCCAAAACATTTGCAATCTTAGCTTTAGTTTGGGTGTCGGTTTCCCAAACCCCCACCTCTTGGCCCTGCCAAAATCCTCGCAAGTCTTTATTTCCCTTTTTAATTTTTTTTTATAAACTTTATTCATCTATAACATGAAATACAAAAGTGCAAAAGCAAACAGTAAGGGACGATAGGGGTGGGAATTGAAACATCCTCCCGTTTTTACGCCTCTTGCTGTGGCTGTTTGTGCAGATAAGATAAGATAACCTTTATTGTCATTTTTTTTTTTACTGTGGGCACAACGGCACACATCCCTTATTTCCGTATTTCCCCATTTCTTGCTGCTTTTTCCTCCAGGTAGCCAAGAGGGTGGGCCGGGTGTTGTATATGGCCAGCTTTCCCGTGGCTTTTCCACTCCACCCGCCCGGCCTGCGGCCCACGGATTGCAACCTGCCTCCCGCCGAGCTTCGCCCACCCTCCACCGGAAGCGTGGCCTCGTCCCCCTACGGAGGGACGCTTCTGCCCAGCCGGGTCTCCCCCAAACAAGAAAATGGGACCTCTCTCTTGGCGGCCCTGGGGGACGCCCCCAAGCCCCCTTCGTAACCCCTGGCCTCTCCGCCATCGGTCATCATCCCGCAGTCCGAAGAAAAGAAGCAAGTTCCTCCCCCCCCCCCCCACAAGAGGAAATTTTGCTAAAATATTCAAATGGGGGAGTGGAAATAAACGCTCGGAGGGAATTTTTTTTTTTTTTTTTTTGGACTTGGGGAGGATTTGGCAAACTGCTCCATTCCAAAGAAATCTTGGAAGGAAGACAGACTCGGAGAAGGAAGCCCGTTGTGGAGATCAACGCCTCTGCAAACCAGCCCAGGAGGGGCTCCAGGGGGGGCAAGGAAACCCCCCTCCCCTCTTCCTTTTTTTGGGGGGGGGAAAGAAAAACACATCCCTGGCTGGAACCGGTACAGAGTTCCTTTTTTTTGAGGGGGGGGGAGGTCTATGCATCGCTAGCAGCTTTTGAAGTAATACCAAAGACAAGACGAAGTGATCCAGCGTCTGAACTCCGCTCCATGTTTATTTTTTATTTTTATTTTTTGGATGGTACGGCACAGCCAGTCCTGTGGACTTAATCTTCTTCCTTTTTCTTTGACTTTCTGTGTCTCTCTTTGGTGTGCATTGATTGCTTGCTTGTTTCCATCCTGGACAGAAAGAAAGCAGGAAGGATAATGTAGTTGGGGGGAATCCCATTGCTTCCCTTCTGGAAGTGTGTGTGTGTGTGTGTGTGTGTGTGTGTGTATGTATGTATATGTATGTATGTATGTATGTATGTATGTATGTATGTATGAATGAATGAATGAATGAATGAATGAATGAATGAGGAGTCCTTGGTGCTCTCCAAGTTTGGTTTTCTTACAGACGTTTCATTACCCAACTAGGTAACGTCATTAGTGTACTGATGTCGTTACCTAGTTGGGTAATGAAACGTCTGCAAGAAAACCAAACTCGGAGAGCATCAAGGAGCTGAGTTCAACCCTGAGCTATCTTCTCCTCTGTGTGTCTGTGTGTCTCTTGTGGGTGCATGCAACACGGAGGTATGCTCCATTTTAATTGGCTTTTGTGCACAAAGTGCAGTTTGTTTGTTTTTTTTAAAAAGGGCAGGGCAGCCTGGGTGAGGATATGGAATTGCACATTTTCCCTGGTATCCACACCCAGGGGTTAACACGGAACCCTCGCCAGCTTTCAACCAACGTGTCTGTGTCTGTGTCTCTGTGTGTGTCTCTGCCCGTTTTGATAGAAAAAAAAGAATGCAGGGACCAAGCTTTTAAAACACCCCTGCAGTCTTTTTTTTTTTTCCCCCTCCCCTCCCTCGGTGCATTTTCAACAGCAAACCACACTTAACCCAAGATAGCTCAGTTGGGACCTTAGCTTCATGTCAAGAGTATCCATCACTTTAAAACTTAAGGCTTTCCAAGCAAAGCAATTGAAATAACAATAAAAACGAAGAGTTCACTCGGTTTATAAAAACAGGTCCGTGTCGGGGTGCGTCCTTCAGAACTTAAGACGATTCCTGGGGATGGGGAACATGAGAAGTATTGGGGGGAGGGGGGTGATAGGTAAACATAGCCCGAGTTATTAGATGAAACCCTGGCCTAATGAGCCAGCATAGACCAAAGGGGGGTAAGTATGAAAGGTTACATGTTGTGGGAACCCCACCGGATGGCAAAGGACACTGATGATGGGTAAGACAACAGGTAAGTTGGCTCTGGAGGGGACAGGTGCTGGGAAGGGGGGGGGGGACAGGCAGGCCAAAGGCTTAGAGAGAGGAGTGGGTTGGCCTGAGCCCGCCAACCCCTTGGCCTGCCTGCCCTCCCCAATCTTCCCAGCACCTGTATTTCCCTCCCTCCCTCTTGGCCACCCCATCTTTGGCCTCAAGGGGTGCCCGAGGTAGGGGCAGGCCCTGGGTGCCCCCCCCAGGTCTGCCAGGGCGGCTGGCCCATCTTCCCAGGGCTTTCCTCTTCCCTCCCCCTCCCAGGAGGGCTGCTGGGGGCTAAGTCGAGGTGGGGAGAGGGCTGGAAGGATGTTAGAGGCTGGCTGGGGAGGGGCTCCTTGCCAACACCTCTTCCCAACTCCCCTGGTGCCATGCGGGCAGGCACGGGCAAAGGAGGGGATGGGAGGTCCTGGGGTGAAGGGGGGGGCATGGGCAGGCACAAACACCTCCCTTGAAAAGCTGGGGAGAGCTTGCCCATTTCCCTCCCCCCCTGGGGCCTCCCTTTCCCCACTGAGTCTTGGCCACCCACGGAGTCCCTGCCAGGTGGCACCCAGGGAGCTGGGGGGGGGGAAGAGATGGGGTGTTGGGCAAGGAGACCCACCCCAGCCTGCCTCTAACTTCCAGCCCCTCCCTTTCCCACCTCAGCAGCCACCCTGGGGGGGGGGNCCACAAGAGGAAATTTTGCTAAAATATTCAAATGGGGGGTGGAAATAAACGCTCGGAGGGAATTTTTTTTTTTTTTTTTTGGACTTGGGGAGGATTTGGCAAACTGCTCCATTCCAAAGAAATCTTGGAAGGAAGACAGACTCGGAGAAGGAAGCCCGTTGTGGAGATCAACGCCTCTGCAAACCAGCCCAGGAGGGGCTCCAGGGGGGGCAAGGAAACCCCCCTCCCCTCTTCCTTTTTTTGGGGGGGGGGAAAGAAAAACACATCCCTGGCTGGAACCGGTACAGAGTTCCTTTTTTTTTTTGAGGGGGGGGAGGTCTATGCATCGCTAGCAGCTTTTGAAGTAATACCAAAGACAAGACGAAGTGATCCAGCGTCTGAACTCCGCTCCATGTTTATTTTTTATTTTTTATTTTTATTTTTTGGATGGTACGGCACAGCCAGTCCTGTGGACTTAATCTTCTTCCTTTTTCTTTGACTTTCTGTGTCTCTCTTTGGTGTGCATTGATTGCTTGTTTCCATCCTGGACAGAAAGAAAGCAGGAAGGATAATGTAGTTGGGGGGAATCCCATTGCTTCCCTTCTGGAAGTGTGTGTTTGTGTGTGTGTGTGTGTATGTATGTATGTATGTATGAGGAGTCCTTGGTGCTCTCCGAGTTTGGTTTTCTTACAGACGTTTCATTATCCAACTAGGTAACATCATTAGTGTACTGATGTCGTTACCTAGTTGGGTAACGAAACGTCTGCAAGAAAACCAAACTCGGAGAGCATCAAGGAGCTGAGTTCAACCCTGAGCTATCTTCTCCTCTGTGTGTCTGTGTGTCTCTTGTGGGTGCATACAACACGGAGGTATGCTCCATTTTAATTGGCTATGCTCCATTTTAATTGGCTTTTGTGCACAAAGTGCAGTTTGTTTGTTTGTTTGTTTGTTTAAAAAAAGGCAGGGCAGCCTGGGTGAGGATATGGAATTGCACATTTTCCCTGGTATGTCCACACCCAGGGGTTAACACGGAGCCCTCGCCAGCTTTCAACCAACATGTGTGTATGTGTGTGTGTGTGTGTGTCTGCCCATTTTGATAGAAAAAAAAATGCAGGGGTCAAGCTTTTAAAACACCCCTGCAGTCTTTTTTTTTTTTTCCCCTCCCCTCCCTCGGTGCATTTTCAACAGCAAGCCACACTTAACCCAAGATAGCTCAGTTGGGACCTTAGCTTCATGTCAAGAGTATCCATCACTTTAAAACTTAAGGCTTTCCAAGCAAAGCAATTGAAATAACAATAAAAACGAAGAGTTCACTCGGTTTATAAAAACAGGTCCGTGTCGGGGTGCGTCCTTCAGAACTTAAGACGATTCCTGGGGACGGGGAACATGAGAAGTATTGGGGGGAGGGGGGTGATAGGTAAACATAGCCCGAGTTATTAGATGAAACCCTGGCCTAATGAGCCAGCTTAGACCAAAGGGGGGTAAGTATGAAAGGTTACATGTTGTGGGAACCCCACCGGATGGCAAAGGACACTGATGATGGGTAAGAGAACAGGTAAGTTGGCTCTGGAGGGGACAGGTGCTGGGAAGGGGGGGGGGCAGGCAGGCCAGAGGCTTAGAGGAGTGGGTTTCCTGAGCCCGCCAACCCCTTGGCCTGCCTGCCCTCCCCAATCTTCCCAGCACCTGTATTTCCCTCCCTCCTCTTGGCCACCCCATCTTTGGCCTCAAGGGGTGCCCGAGGTAGGGAGGGGCAGGCCCTGGGTGCCCCCCCAGGTCTGCCAGGGTGGCTGGCCCATCTTCCCAGGGCTTTCCTCCCTCCCTCCCTCCCCCCCAGGAGGGCTGCTGGGGGCTAAGTCGAGGTGGGGAGAGGGCTGGAAGGATGTTAGAGGCTGGCTGGGGAGGGGCTCCTTGCCAACACCCCTTCCTCTTCCCTTCCCAACTCCCCTGGTGCCATGAGGGCAGGCACAGGCAAAGGAGGGGATGGGAGGCCCTGGGGTGAAGGGGGGGCATGGGCAGGCACAAACACCTCCCTTGAAAAGCCGGGGAGAGCTTGCCCATTTCCCTCCCCCCCCCCCCGGGGCCTCCCTTTCCTCACTGAGTCTTTTTGCCACCCACGGGGTCCTTGCCAGGTGGCACCCAGGGAGCTGGGTGGGGGGAAGAGATGGGGTGTTGGGCAAGGAGACCCTCCCCAGCCTGCCTCTAACTTCCAGCTCTTCCCTTTCCCACTTCAGCAGCCACCCTGGGGGGGGGAAGAAGGGGGAAGCCCTGGAAAGATGGGCTGTCCCAGCCCTGGTAACCTGGGGGGGGGGGGCNGGGGGGGGGGGCAGCCCAGGGCTGTTCCTCCCTGAGGCCAAAGATGGGGAGACCAAGAGGAGGGAGGGAAATGGAGTGGGGGATAGGGGTGGAGGGAGGGGTGGGGGGGCAGGGAGGGATGGAGAGGGATAGGGGAGAAACCACAACACCCAGGAGTAGAATGCACAATCTTTATTAGAGGTCAAAAAAACAAGCAATACACCCCCCCTCTGGTCCCCAGCCCCCCCCACACCCTCCCTCCCCCCACCTTTGGCTTCAATCCTGGCTTAGAGGGAGCCCAGGGGAGGGGAGACCCTGGCAGGAGGGAGGGTGTCTTCCCCCCCTCCTCCCAGGACCTCCCCTCCCCCCAAGGCCCCCTCTAGGCCAGGATTGAAGCCAAAGGCATTGGGGGAGGCTAAGGGAGGCTGGAGGGGGGGCACAGAGGACAGCTTGCTAATGTCTTTGGCTTGAAGTGGGCAAACTGCCACCCACAGAGCCAAGGACATTGGCCGCTGCCCTCCGCCCTGCCCCACTCCCTCAGCCTCCCCCAGTCCCCCCCAAGACCCTCAACTTCAACCATGGCACAAGGGAAGCTGGCAAGAGGCCCTGGGATGCCTGAGGCTGCCCCTGGGGGGCTTGGAGCCCCCAGATCTTCCTAGGGCCTCCTTGCCAGCCTCCTGTTGGGCCATGGCTGCACCTGACCTCCCCCAAGGGTGTGACCCACCATGCACAGAGCTGGCTTCCTCTGTGCAGCCCTCATTCGGAGTAGATACGCACAAATGTAAGAGCGTGGGGGTCTTGGAGCCAAGAGGCCCCTTGTTTTGGATACATTGTGCGTGCCTACTTAGAACCAGGGAGGAACTGCAGACTTACCTCAAGACATACCTGTTTCCTGGCTCACCTGCCTGGTTGCTGGGGAGATTGGGGAGGGATGAGCAGTTGAGATTCTACAACAGCTTCTCTCAACTTTGGCAAGTATTAAGTTGCGCAGACTTCCCAACTAGGGCTGAAGTCCACCCATCTTTAAGTCTGCCAAGGCTGAGACATGCTGGGGACCCTGAAGGCTTCAAGGTTGAGGAGCACCCATTTGGGGGGAAAATGGCCTAAAGAACTTCCATTCCTGTAGTGTTGTGGGGATTTGCAATCTCACAGCACAAAGGAACCCAAGTTCTGTGCATCCCAAGTAGGTGGACCTCAACCCCAAAACATCTAATGTTCAGGGATGTCCTGGGAGGACCCCCATATGGGTGGTCTATCTTCCCAGAATTCTCCAGCTACATTGCCAAACGTTCTGGGGACCGAAGTTCGATCAGAAGTTCTATGTTGGACTTTGAAATTCCCAGAATACAGAAATAAGCTGGAGAAGTCGGGGGTCCACCTGTTTACCTTCCATCTGGATGGGAAGTTCACTTCAATTCCCATAGTTCTGCACCCCAAGGTTGCGGAGTTCTGGGAATTGAAGGTCTCCCCTTCAGATGCAGTGTGTGCTTGATGTGAGGGACAATTCCCAGAATTCTCCAGTCTGTGTGCTGGAGAACACCAGAGATTGAATGGCAGCCACCTGGTGCCTGGAGAGGACCTCAATTTAAGGGGTTTCAAGTATTGTAGGAACTAGGGTATCCTATGCCCTCTGTGATGCAAGACTCCCAAGTCCCAGAATCCTGAACCCAGAATTCAGAAAAATTGGGGACCCATCATCTACAAAACCTGGACCTGTCTCCTGGATTGGTGTACTGCAAGCTCCAGAATTCCTAACAGAATTAAAAGAGTTGGAGGTTCACCACTTAACATTTCATGGGATTGGTCTCCTAATTAAGTCCCAGACTTCTGAACCCAGAGTTCAGAAGAATTGGGGACCCATCATCTACAGGACGTGGACCTGTCTCCTGGATTGGTGGACTGCAAGCTCCAGAATTCCCAACAGAATTAAAGAGTTAGAGGCTCACCACTTACATTTCATGGGATTGGCAACTCCCAAGTCCTAGAATTCGGAACGCAGAATTCAGAAGAATTGGGATGCATCAACAAGAGACAACATGGAGCTGTCTCCAAGATTAGTGAACTTCAGTTTCCAGAATTCTCCAGTCCATGTGCTGGAGACAGCTGGAAATTGAGTTGCAGCCACCTGGTGACCTTGGGATTGGGGTGGGTGGGTGGGAAGGGGACCTCAATCCTTAAAACTTCTCTAGCCTACCATTGCTAAGAATTCCGGGGGCTAAAACTCATCCCTTTGAAATTGGCATCTTTCAATGGGTAGGCTTCAACTCCCCAAGTGTTTTAAAAGCTGCAGATTTTTTGGGAATTTGAAGTCCAGCCTTCTAAAAGCCATTTGGCTTTCTGAAAGTGGAGTTCGGGCCTTGACATACCTGGTGGGGTTTACCTGACCCTAGAGATCAGGGTTTCTCACCCTTAGTGAGAGGTGTGGGTTTCAACACTCAAAAGAGTTCTGGAATTTGAAATCCACACATCTTCCAAGTTGTTAAGGTTGAAAAACCCTGAATCTAAGTTCTTCTGACACCTCAACCTCAACTTTTGTCTTACAACCTGAAGCTACATAATCCTACCAAGGCATAATAGCCATTATGCCTTCACCCTACCATCCCGTTTGAAAAGCTAGAGCAGCCACGATTTCAAGATTTATGGGGACCAAATGCAAGGGCTTGCATTTCAAGCGTGTACCCCCATAAACCACAAAACATGGTTCTTTTGCCAAGCTGAAGACATAAAGACTCCTTCATCTAACTTACAAATGACAAAAGAGATATATCCTGGCTACCTTGGGGATCCCCTCCCGACCAATGGTGTAAGACTGGTTAACTCCTTATTTTAGATCTGACCTGTCTGGTGACCTCCAATGACCAGTGTGTGGGTCTCAGTTCCTGGTGGGCACCACGTGTGGGGGTGAAAAAAGGCCCGCGTGGGTCACAATGCAGTGAAAGCTGCAGGGGAAAAAAACGCTTCACCACCAAGGATCCAGCCGTTTTGCCCGCTGCGGTTTCAGCGCAAAGAGATCCAGGCCTCTGAAAGGAATCCACAACAGGCTGTTTTTACAAGCCGAGAACCAACACAAAGCTTCCCCCATACAGAAATAAAAATTGGGGGGGGAATTGGGGGGTGGGGGTGGACTCAAAAGCATGCATTGTGCTGCCCGGTCCGGCTCTTCCTGCTGGGGGGGTGGGGTTTGGGCTAAAAAATTTAAATAATGTCACTTGCAGGAAAAGAGCCAAGTCTTTTTTTTAAAAAAAAAAAAAGATTTGTAACTGTAGTGGGATCTTCATCTCTGCATCTCCATCGCTGGTGGTGGATGACCCCCCAGAAGAGGAAGGGGTAGCATTGAAGGCTGGCCTCTTTTTTCTTTTTTGAGATGGTTTTAAGGTTTTATTTTAAGATGGTTTTAAGAACCCCACATTATTCTAGAGAGGCAGTTTTTGCAGCCACCGTGGCACAGACTTTTTACGGCTCCACTGCCGGCTGACAAAATTTTTCTGGCCTGCCCCTCCAGTGCCTAAACTCGGCTTCAGGGCCAGCTGGAACAATGCAGCCCCTTCCCCTCACGTCCATCCATCCATCAGTCTCCGTCGGAAAAATCCAAGTCTTCCACCAGGTCCTCTCCTCCTTCTGCCAGCTGTTGCAACTCTGCCCGAGTGAGCGGTTTCCGGCGACTCCTCCGTCGAGGGGCGGCCTGCTCGTCTGCTGGAGAAGGAAGAAAGACTTGGTGTCAATCCAACCACATTGGGGACAGGAGGGGGGGGGGAGGCAGAAAAGGCAGCTGGGTGCTAATTAATCTCCGGTGCTAATTAATGGATCATCTGCAGAGCTCAGGAGGGGGCAAGTTGGGAACGGCGAGATGGGCAGAATATAAGTTTTAATAATAAATAAGAGCGATAAATAAACAAAGCACCTGGGTTTTTTTTTTCTAACGGAGATGGAGGATCAAGGAGAGGAAAATCTTTATTTTACCCACCCCCCATTTTATTTGAGGGGGGGCACAACCCTGTAAAGGGGGAGGCTTCCAAAACTCACATCCTAGAAATAAGGGGGGGGGAAGAAAGGTTTCCTCTCCAAATATTTCTGGATGAGCCGTTGCAATCTACGGAGGTGAATTTAGAAGCATGCTCTTCCCTCTTAAAATAGGCTACTTAGTGAGCACATGGAGGGGGGGGGTCCTTTGGGGGTTGGGACCCTCCCCAAACCCTCTGGTCGGCCTCTGCATTCTTCTGTTGGAGACCCACTCTGTAAAACCAAGTTCCCACCTTCCCAACTGTTCCCAAAAGCTGGACGTGCAGATCTTCTCATAATGCTTTAGAAGTCTAAGCGGGGGGACTTAGAAATATGGGGGGGGGGGTTATCAACCTGCCCACCCCAGAGAGAGGGGAAATTGTGAGAGAAGGACCAGGGGAGAAGCCAAAGGGCCTTGTGCGTGGCTGATAAGCACCAGAATGGAGTAGAAACACATCTGCACACATCCATGTCACAGGATGGGCCGGAGACCACTTTACATCCAGTGTGAACACAGCCCTCTCAGGGTGGTGCAAATAGTCTGGAACCCCCTGCCAGTGGGGAGGAGGGGAGAGGGCTGTGGGGGACCCCCACACCAGAGCAGCTCCACCTGCTCTACTTCGACCTGATTTCGGGCAGAAACCCTTCCCCCCCCTTTCTCAGAAACGTCAAGACACTGACACTCAGGATCGCCTAACGAGGAAACCAGGGTTTTGCCACTGAAGTTTGGACCAGATGAACGGTCCCTCCAGGTTCAGGATTTGGCTCCCAAACGTTCCTGACGAAGGGAAGGTTTGGGCCAACTGGAAAACAAAGCAGGGAAAAAGCGGAAACTGGAACAGCCGCAAAACGAGACGTGGGGGGCGAGGCCGCTGCGGCACTTCCAACGTTTCGGCAGCCCCAGAGAGAAAGCGTTTTGTGAGTGTGGCACGTGGACGTGCCAAACGGTGGCAGCCGTTGTCTGCTCTGGCCTCTGCCGTTGGTCTATTCTGGGCAAGGGCACCGAGGCTGGCGTGCCAGGCCTCTGCCATCTGCTACTGAGAACTGGGCACTGCGCCGGCCTCTTTTAGCTGCATTGCTGGGGGGGAAACGGAGGGAGGAAGCAAAGGGAGGCTCGAAGAGGGGAGCAGCTTGGAGATATCTGAGCCCTTAAATTTTGGATTCTGCAAATAATTTCCCGGAATTAACAAGAAAGAGAATGCAGAGGCACAATCACCTGAATGTGTCCCTCTGGAGGGGTTTTGTTTGGGGGTTTTTGGGGCCGAGGGTGGGGGTGTTCACTGAGACACCCCTGACGCCTCTCCCACCGGGCTTGATCCTGCTTTGAGGCCTCCACTGAGCCCCTGGGGGCTTCAGAGGCCGGTGTCCCTGGCCCAGCCAGACAGGTGGGGCTGGGGGATTCGCCCTCCCACCTACAGGCAGTCCTCAGCTTATAACCGTTCGTTTAGTGACCGTTCAAAGTTACAACGGCACTGAAAAAAGTGACCGATGACTGTTTTTCATACTTATGACCATTGCAGTCTCACCTGATCAAAATTCAGACACTCAGCAACCGGTTCATATTTATGACGGTTGCACTGTCCTGGGGTCACGTGATCCCCATGTGCAAACTTCTATTCTATTCTATTTTCTATTCTTTTCTATTTTCTATTCTTTTCTATTCCATTCCATCCTATTTCTATTCTAATTCTATTTTCTATTCTCTATTCTTTTCTATTTTCTATTCTTTTCTATTCCATTCCATTCCATCCTATCCTATCCTGTATTATATTCTATTCTATATTCTATTCTATTCTATTTTCTTTTCTATTTTCTATTCCATTCCATCCTATCCTATCATCCTCTATTCTATTCTATTCTATTCTATTCTATTCTATTCTATTCTATTCTATTCTATTCCATTCCATTCCATTCCATTCCATTCCATTCCATTCTATTCTATTCTATTCTATTGTGTTCTGTTCTATAATATTCTATAATATTCTATCCTATTCTATTTCTACTCTAATTTCAAAGGAACTATAGCCAATAATAATGAAAAAAGGTCAATCCAGAATACAAGAGTTACAATAATTTCTACAAAAACACGGCCACCAATAATAAAAGTAAGTGAATGAAACAATGAAGACAACGTTGAATTTTCCCGCGACAAATTAGCCAGGGTCAGTTGTCCTAGACCCAGCTACACCTGTTCTGTATGGTTTTTTTCCCCTAGCTGTTCAAGAGAGAAGATGGTGGTCTAAGACTGAAAGGTCATTAGGGAAAAGATGGCTCTGAGGAAGAGCAGGATGATCTCTGGGGGTCTCCGCAATCTCCTTTTTGCTGCAACACGGAAAGCTGCAAGGAAGCCTCTTAATTCTTTACCGTCTGAATCGCTCTGATTCCCGTCATCTTCTTCCTCTTCCTCCACTTCATATTCTCCTTCCTCCTCCTCCTCTTCCTCACTGCTGCTCATGGAAGCACGGTCTGCAGCCTTCTTCCCTTTCTCTGCACCCAGAAAACAAAAACGGGAACAGACGTGACATAAGGTCCCTCTCTGAATTCACGGGGAATGTAAAACAGTTCTTCTGCAACCAGTTGCAGCTTAAGGGACAAAAACCAGCTTTTTTATTATTATTCCTGGATTTTTTTAATCACGAGAAAACAGCTAAAAACAAAGTGAAGGGTATGATTTATTGCAACCTGAAGCTTGCTTAGAGGACAGTGTCCAAAGTCCTCAACTTATGTTGACACGCTCACTAATTCAGACGAAAGAATCAGCTTCTTCCTCCAGTGCCAGCCACAGGAAGAAGCTGAAGATTTGAACCGATTATATAAAAATATGCTGGGTTTTTTTCAGAATGCCATTTTTTTAAACTGGATCTAGAGAGACAGTGGTTGTTTTTTTTTTTTTAAAGTAAACAACTATGAGTCTTTTTTAAAAGAACAATTTAAAGCAATACAAGTTTCATTTTGTCGTTGCAATTTATAGACCCCCTTTCTATCACGGTCCAAGTGATATAAATGAAATGAAAATAAACTTGAGCAAAAAAACAAACAGAAAAATAAAAGCCATTAAAGTGTGTGAATTTGTTCTCTGCTTTCCCTTATATCCCCTATTTCAGCCTGACAGTCCTCCCAAAGCAGGATAAACCGTAGAAGGGACTAGAAAGATCAAAATGCAATAAATGCTGTTTAAAAATAAACAAAACCTCTCTGGTTTCCTGGCTGGGCTGAGGTTTTTGTTTAGCAATTCTCCGGCTGCTGTGTGTTTTATGCCTCATCATATTTTGTATTTTAATATATTTTTGCTCCGAGCAGACTCATATACTGAGATGGGCAGCTATGTAAATCAATTTAATAAATAAACCTCTGGCATCCTTCCCATAGGGCAGAGTTGGGGAACAATGGCCGTTGTATGACCTGTGGACTTCAACTCCCAGAATTCCTGAGCCTGCCTGTGGAAGGAAGGAAGGAAGGAAGGAAGGAAGGAAGGAAGGAAGGAAGGAAAAGGGAGAGAAAAAGACAAGGAAGGAAAGAAAAAAAGTGAGAAAGGGAGAGAAATAGGAACAGAAAGAGAAAAAGAGAAAGAGAAAGGAGGAGAGAGGAAGGGGAGGAAGGGAAGAACGTAGAAAGAAAGAGGGAAGAAGAAAGGAGAGGAAGGAAGGAGAAAGGAAGAAAGGAAGAGGGAGAAAGGAAAGGGAAGGAAGGAAGGAAGGGGAAAGAAAGAGACAGGGACAGAGACAGAGAGAAAGAGAGAAAGGGAAGGGAGAAAAAAACACAGAAAGAAGAGAAGAGAAGAGAAGAGAAGAAAAGAGAAGAGAAGAGAAGAGAAGGAAGGAAGGAATGGAAGGGAGGGATGGAAGGAAGGAAGGAAGGAAGGAAGGAAGGGAAAGGGAAAGAGGAAAGGAGCATCACTGTCCTCTCCTGATTATTCCCAGCCTCTGAAATCTCCAGGTAGACTGCCTCTGCACAGGGAGGCTCTGTGAGGCCCAAATGTGGCACCTCTTGGTGGGAAACAAATCCAGAAATAAAAGCTTGAGGGAAGGAACCTTGTTCAGGTGGTTTTTTGGAAATCCAGCAGGGTCTGAGACCCAGGTCAAAAGCTTCCTGACGCTTTCCTAAGACCTCGCCGCTCCCCCATTCAAAGGGTGCAGGGCAGAGAACGAGGCTGCTTGTCAGGGTGTGCACCTACACACACACACACACATACACACACACACACACTGGGAGCAGAGAGCGCCTCCGTCTGAGTTGCCAGCCACCCCCTCCTGGAGTCGGAGATCTCAAGTTTTAATCCAATTTAGACAGAGGGAAAAAAGAGCCCTCTAAAATGGATTTATTAATCACTTTAACGAGGGGGCTATTACCAGAGGGTGCAGCAAGGCCGGAAAACGGGAATAGGGGAGGGGGGGGAAGAGATGGGAAATTCCCCCTGCTCCCCTCCCTCTCCAGCCTCAGCCTGGCACTCATTTTTGTCTCCCCCCCCCCAAACACCCAGAACAATTTGGGGGGCGTGAAGGGCTGAAGAATCCGATGCTGTTGCGATTGCAGAATTCAGAACTCTTAAAATCTCTAAGATGCTATAAAATCCTTCAAATTTGATGTCCACTCCTTTAGGCACAGCCCACCAAACTCTGCCCCTCATCTGGCCAGAATTACCCCCACACAGAGGGGATGTGGAGCCCCCACCGCCCCAACTTTTGTACAATGGGGACCTAGCTTTGGGAACTCACCGCCACTAGATGTAGCTGGCAATATTTCTCAACCTTGGCCACTTTAAGATGGGTGGACTTCAACTCCCAGAATTCCCCAGCCAGCCATGCTGGCTGGGGAATTCTGGGAGTTGAAGTCCACCCATCTTAAAGTGGCCGAGGTTGAGAAATCTTGTGCAGGTAACAGCTAAGAAGGAATTATGGAAGGCCCAAGATGGAGGGAATCCAACAGGAACACACTTCGACAGGAGAAAAACAAGTGTTGTGTGCATTTTAAGTTCCTTGCCAGGGGTGGGGAACCAGACCACCCCCCCTAACAGCCCTTCCAGCCCTTCAGCTGCTTTTCTATATCCTTCTGCAGCCCACCCACCCAACTTACACTCAAACGGAAGGTGCAAAAGGCAGACACGACCCACGTTATGGGTGCAAAAGTCAGGAACAAGTTGCAAGTCCCTAAGGGACATTTGGGAGATAATCCCAGGCTGATTGCACCCTCTTATTATCCCCAGATACCCCCTTGCTTGCATTCAGGGGAGGGGGGGCGCAAGACTGGTTAATTGCTGCATAAAAGGAGCACACGCACCCTGCCAGCCCCAGCAGACCCACTGGGATCACAACAACGAGCCCCATCACAATTTCTTCTGTTTCCCCTCCCCCTCTGGTCACCGTCCCCTTCCCACCCACCCAGCCCCTCCCTATTCAATCGGCGTAATGTGATTACGGGCTGGATATCCGCTAAAGTTCATTAGACATTCGCCGTGGCTTAATGTGGACAGATCGCTCATTACGGGGCCGGGGTCTGGGGAGACGGAGTGCCAGCCCAGCGGTTCCACGCAGCTTTAATTGCCTCCTGACACGGCCATCCACCATCAGGCCCCCAGCCCATTAATAACTCCCCCACCCCCGGAGCCCCATCGGCTGGTAAATGAGAGGAATGCGTGGCGTCGCCTCTCCCTGTTGTGGCTGCAGACAAGCCCATTGATCAAATCTGGCAGGCAGGAGGGTGACACCCCCCCTTCTCAGAAACTAGAGGGGTGGGTGTCTGGGATGGAGGGGTCCAGGTCCTTGACCTCTTGCCCCCTTTCTGCCAAAGAAGCCAAGCCACCTCTGCGCTTGGGCTTGTGAAGAAAGAAAGAAAGAAAGAAAGAAAGAAAGAAAGAAAGAAAGAAAGAAAGAAAGAAAGAAAGAAAGAAAGAAAGAAAGAAAGAAAGAAAGAAAGAAGGAGGAAGGAAGAGTCAAGAGGGAGAGAGGAAGGAAGGAAGGAAGAGGAAGAAAGAATGAAAGAAAGAGAGAAAGAAGAAAGAGAAAGAATGAATGAATGAAAGAAAGAAAAAGAGAAAGAAAAATGAAGGAAGGAAGAGAGGAAGGAAGAATGAATGAAAGAAAAAGAAAGAAAGAAAGAGAAAGGAAGAAAGGAAGAAAGGAAAGAAAGAAAGAAAGAAAGAAAGAAAGAAAGAAAGAAAAAAGGAAGGAAGGAAGAAGGAAGGGTCAAGAGGGAGAGAGGAAGGAAGGAAGAAAGAATGAATGGAAGAAAGAAAAAGAAAGAGAGACAGAAGAAGGAAGGAAGAGAGAGAGAGGAAGAATGAATGAATGAAAGAAAAAGAGAGAAAGAAAAATGAAGAAAGGAAGAATGAATGAATTAAAGAAAGAAAGAAAAAGAGAAAGAAAGAAAAAGAGAAAGAAAAAGGAAGAAAGGAAGGAAGGAAGGAAGGAAGGAAGGAAGGAAGGAAGGAAGGAAGGAAGGAAGGAAGGAAGGAAAGAAGCTAGCTCCCATTCTGGTTAAGCCATGGTTTATTTCAAGTATGCTTTCCTGGCTGAGCCACATGGAATGGCTGGTCCTTTGCACTAAACAGTAAACAGCCGTGGCTTTCCGGGCCACAAGGACAAACCCACACAATTTGGGGCGTGTGGGCAAATGCAACACACATTAGCACTTATCCCAAAGACTTGGGTGAGATCTTAAGATCAGCTCTGTCTCAGCTCAAAGGCCCACTTAGTCCACATACAGGGGAGATGTACAGGTAGTCCTTTTTTAGTGACAATTGGGACTAGCAACTCGATTGCTAAGCAGAGATTGCTAAATGAAACTGCAACGCGCTTATGATCTTCCGTCAGCTTTCTGCGAAGGTTGCAAACGTGGCCATAGTTTACGTCACTGTTGTACTGCAGTCACTAAACGAGGACTATCTGTACACGCAGTCATGTTTTTTTCTCTCTCACCCCCTACTAAAAGCCACCCTGTTCTACTAGTGATGTGTAGGACTCAGCGCTAGCTATTCCAACCCCACCTGAAAGCTACTCCGGCCAAATCTTGTGGCAGGGGGTTCCAAAAGCTCAAAATCACACCTTTGTCCCCACCTTTTCCCAATTCTACTTAAAAACGGGGGTTAGGCCCGATTGCCGACAGGAGTGGAGGAAAACATTGCTTCTATCTACTTTCCTCGGGTAGAACCTGGGGGATTCAAATCCCAGTATCCTTGGCCAAGGTGAAGATGATGGGAGTTACAATCCGACGCTTCATTTCCCCAAACTGGGATTTAACTGGGGGAGGGAGGGGCAGACATCTGCACAGCACCCCATCTTTTTGACTGGGGTTCAGCAGCTATACAGGTGAACCGACCTGTTTTTTTAGGGATTTTTGACTTATTTTGGGGGGGAACGCCCGACCGCCACCCAATTCCGTGTCTGCCCACCGTGCCTTTTCCAGACCATCTTATTCCGCTGAGACCGGAGCTGCTATAAAAACGCTAATGAGTGCTTAACTATGGCAATATTTAATTAAAAAGAAGAAGAAGGGGAAGAGGGGCTGTGAGCTGCTGCTAATTAACAGAAAATTGGTAATTTCCTAGCTATTAGCGGCTTATTTTCCACTCATCTGAACACAGGCAAGGAAGCACAGCGACAGCATAAATACAATCTGGCTTATCCAGAGGTGCAGGTGGCTGGCAAAACTGTGGGAGCCTGTGACCTCTCTTCGCATTAACCCCAACCCCCTATGGGGCAGAGGGCAATTAATCAATGGAATAGCTTGCCTCCTAAAACTGTGGGTTCTCCACTGCTGCAAGGTTTCAAAAATAGACCGGAGGATCATTTGACTGGGCTGGTGTAAGACTCCTGCCTTGAGCTGGGGTTGGACTAGAAGACCTCCGAGGTCCCTTTCAGCCCTATAATTAATAATAATAATAATAATAATAATAATAATAATAATAATAATAATAATAATAATAATGAGAAGGAGAAGTAGTAGTAGTAGTAGTAGTAGTAGTAGTAGTAGTAGTAGAAGAAGAAGTTGGAAGGGAGCTTGGAGGTCATCTAGTCCAACCCCCTGCTCAGGCAGGAAACCCTATATACCATTTCAGACAAATGGCTGTCCAGTCTCTTCTTAAAAACTTCCAGTGTTGGAATACACATAATTGTATGTTCATTTTTTCCTGCAGGCGAAAGACTGCCCTACTTCCTTAGCAAAGTGCCCCCCAACCCAACTATCTGGAATGTGAAGGTTCAAAATGAATGTCACCATGTCCTGATTTCCAGATGTGACAGCACTTTCTCTTCCTCCACCAAGGATCTGCTCCAGAAACATCACCACCCACCCCTGTCTTGGCTGAGTCAAAAGGAAGGAAGGAAGGAAGGAAGGAAGGAAGGAAGAAAAAAGCCGACAACATCACCAGTGCACTGAGGCGCATCCAAGTTGCCTGTTGAAGAATCCGGGAACAACGTGCGTGGCAGTCACCCGCCGTGCGCAGAAGTCAAAGCAAGAGAGAAACGCAGCAGGATTTTGGTTTGCGGCGATAGTCTCTCTCTCTCTCTCTCAAAAACACACACAAAAAACTATCTCAGGACAAGAGAGACAGCAAATCAAGCAGGGATGGATAATGACACCTCAATTAATCCTTCACAAATCTATGGGAAAGTGTGTGGAATTGGCTGCAGCAAAGCTTAATCTGTCTATCTGTCTCTCTGTTCTATCTATCTATCTATCTATCTATCTATCTATCTATCTATCTATCTATCTATCTATCTATCTATCTATCTATCTATCTATCTATCTATCTAATCTGTCTCTCTCTGCCTCTATCTACCTATCATCTGTATCTATCATCTATATCTATCATATCTACCTATCTCCTATCATTTATCTTATGTATCTCTATTTCTCTATCATTTATCTATCTCTATCTTCTCTATCTTCTCTGCCTACCTACCTACCTCCCTCCTATCTATCTATCTATCTATCTATCTATCTATCTATCTATCTATCTATCTATCTATCTATCTATCTATCTATCTATCCATCTATCCATCTATCTATCCATCCATCCATCCATCCATCCATCCATCCATCCATCCATCCATCCATCCATCCATCCATCTATCTAATCTGTCTCTCTCTGCCTCTATCTACCTATCATCTATATCTATCTATCATCTATATCTATCATATCTACCTATCTCCTATCATTTATCTTATGTATCTCTATTTCTCTATCATTTATCTATCTCTATCTTCTCTATCTTCTCTGCCTACCTACCTACCTACCTACCTACCTACCTACCTCCTATCTATCTATCTATCTATCTATCTATCTATCTATCCATCTATATCTATCTATCTATCTATCTATCTATCTATCCATCCTATCATGTATCTGACCTCTCTCTCTCTCTCTCTCTCTCTCTCTCTCTCTCTCTCTCTCACACACACACACACACACACACACACACCTATCAATCATCCATCTATTATCTCTCCCTCCCTCTCCTTCCCTATCAAAAATAGCACTTGGAAAATTTCAGGAAGAAATTTGCTTGTCCTACAGAACATGTCTAAATTCCCTGGGGACATCAAGTCAAAAAGGCATCTCTGTTCGTTAATCACCCTCTGGTATACCACCTCTGACTGTGGAGGTTCCACACACACACACAAAATGGATACTGACCAGCCATCCAGACTGGGCCCTGGGGCTGTATAAGTCTTCCTACCCTCTAGAGTGGCCTTTGCTGATCAAAGTGCCAATTTTGCTTTATAATTGGTGAAGGAGTTGCATAGGAGTTGTACATCAAATTACCTGAAAAGCAGTAAGCTGGAAGAACTGTGTCCCATTGAAAGGAGGGTGTAAGTTTGCAAATAACCGGAATAATTAAAGAGTCTGCCACACAAATTAAAACTATTTCAAGTTCAGGATTTTGGATATGAAATGCCCCATTCCAACCGTCTCTTTCCTTCATCATTTTGAGTCAGAAAGAGTTTCTCAGATTGAGACAAAGAGTTGATTCAATTTCAAGACACTTCGGAAAGGGAAAAAGATGTGTGTTGCATTGAAATCCTTTTCAGTTTCAAACATTTTCCCTAGCAATCAACTACGATGGTGGTTTATCCACGGACTTGTTCCTTGGTTATGGGATATGACAGATATGCATTTTAATTCTTGTATATTGCCATTTTTTAAAATTTTGTTCGTCATTCACTTACTTGCTGAGATGGGCACCCGTACAGACCGAATAAGGACCTTTTTAAAAAATTGACTGATACCTGCAATGCAGTGATTGTATAAAACTGCCCCAACAATCCAATTTATGACACTCATTGTTTCCAACTGGTGCCTCTGCATGTTACAATAAATTTGCCACGCTTGAGAAAAATCACTTTAAAAGAAAAAAAAAAAGAGATTAAAGATGTATTTTTCAGACAAGATCAGAAACGAATCTCTTCCCAAGTGTGTTGACTAAAACGATCTCTCCAGTTTGGCGGTTGGTTTTTTGAGGCTACTTATGTCCCTAAAAATGATTACTTAATTCAGTTATTATTCTTTCCTTAATCGGTTTCTTACCGGGAACGTGTCACCATCTATTTACCGTGGATGTAAATGATAACGATAACAATGATTTGTATACTTTAGCAGTTAACCGCGGGGAGCCCAGCCAACGGAATAAATGAATGAGTGAATAAAATCACAGCAGTACTATCAACTCAAAAGATCTCACATCCCATTTATTTATTTTTTTAGCCAATTTGGTAAATTTGTGTTTTTAAATGAACTTTCCCTTCTGAAAGCATTCAGGTAGATATGCCCATCCCTGAGCTGTGTTTTAAAAAGGGATTCCCCAACCCCAAGAAACTGTTTTGAAATGGAAATTATTTTAAGTTCTTGCTCAGGTGTCTCCAATCTTGGCAACTTTTAAGACTTATGGACTTCATCTCCCAGAATCCATGGCTGGCTGAGGAATTCTGGGAGTTGAAGTCCACAGGTCACCGAGTTTGAAGTGCTCTGTTTTTGCTTGAAGCTGGGAAGTTTGGGGCAGTTGAGTAAAGGGCAGTGGTGCAATTTGTGAGACTGTCTTGCACCAAATGCTTCCACCTACCTTTACGGGAGAAGACATCTGAGGAGGCCTCCTCCTCCTCTGAGCTGCTCTCCATTTCAAAGAGGTCCTTAAACTCCCTTTTATCTGCCTCTTTCTTTTCGTTCGGCTTCTTGCGTTTGATTTCTGGGAAGTTTAGATCTTCCATCTGCAGCCAGGCAACAAAGGAAGGACAGAAGAAAAAAAAAAGAAGAAGAAAAGTAAGATATTAAAAAGTAAACACACTGAACATCTCAATTTAGCCCCAATGAAGAAGCAGCTGGGTGGTTATCCTAAGGATGTTTTTAAATACCACAAAATTACATATCTATATCTATATGATATCTCTATCTCTATCTATCTATCTATCTATCTATCTATCTATCTATCTATCTATCTATCTATCTATCTATCTATCTATCTATCTATCTATCTATCTATCATCTATCTATCTCTGTATCCATCCATCCATCCATCCATCCATCTAGATAGATAGATATTTATAGATAGATAGATAGATAGATAGATAGATAGATAGATATGAGAAAAAAAAACAGATGGAAAAAAGGGAATATGAGGAGACTCCTGAATGAGCAAGTATTACCACACCACCACTGAAGTAAAATATTAACAGAATAACAAAGTTGGAAGGGACCTTGGAGGTCTTCTAGTCCAACCCCCTGCTCAGGCAGGAAGCCTCAGAGCAGGGGTCTTCAAACCTGGCCCTTTGATGACTTGTGGACTTCAACTCCCAGAATTCCTCAGCCAGGCACGCTGTCTGAAGAATTCTGGGAGTTGAAGTCCACAAGTCATCAAAGGGCCAAGTTTGAAGAGCCCTGCCCTAGAGCATATTCTCACTTCCCAAACAGTCTGAAATATTGAAGGGGGGGGGAAATACCCTACAGAGGAATCTTGAATTTTAACATCAGGATTGTAAAAAGGCTGGGATTGTCTTTCATTTCCTAACCCTTTCACCCCAGCCAATGCAGCCTTCACAAAAGAATGCACCAAGTCTTTTTTTTTCTTTTCTTTTGGAGTTTCTGACTAATTTTTGAGCAAGATCTCGGAATCATAGCTCAATGAAAATGTTGGAGGATCTCAAAATAGGGGTAAAAATACTCCTCTGATTGCCATCATTGTGTGGCCAGACCTACCATGACACAAAGCTGGGTTACTTGGGACTAAAAAGCCTGGCAAAGTCAATTAAGCAGAAAGTAGCAATGGATCAGCTGGTCATCCCTTGTGCTCCTCAGCCAGGATCTCAAGATGGTTTAGATTTAAGGATTTGGGTTCCTACCCGTTCTTTGCCAGTAATTTCAAGCTGTATTTCCTTCTCTCTCAGCTTCTTCCAAGTCACGTAGTAAGTCATTAGAGGAGTTCCTTCTGCTTTTACCGTTTTTTCCCACTGCTCCTGTCAAAAAAATTCGCCGGAGACATAAGAAAGCGTTTCCTAACGTTCAGAAAACTACCCACTTTTTCCACTTCGGGTGCAGGGGTGTGTGTGTGTGTCCATATTTTTATTCCAGTTCTGGAGACTGAACTGAAATTGCAAAAGCCGAGCGGTGTGTTCAAACTGGCTTCGGAGGGAAAAATCTACACGTGGAACTTTTTTTGTCTCCTTATCCTTTTATTATTGTGCAAAAACAATAACTCGCCAAGCATCCTGCGAACGTTTTTTTGCAGAGTTATGACTGCTTAGCAACAGAAATTCTGAGGTCAATTGTGGCCGTGAAGTCAAGGACTACCTGTGTATTGTATGTTCTTGTCCTATTTTTACTTTTCTTTTCGCTCAACTGATCGTTCGAATGGTGAGTGGGTTGAGCTAAGAGGTGGGGAGGTGCATTATAACTAATTTATTTGTTAGCAAATTGAGAATCAAATGGCCTTGGTATAAAGCAGGGGTCTTCAAACTTGGCCCTTTGATGACTTGTGGACTTCAACTCCCAGAATTCCTCAGCCAGCCACGCTGGCTGAGGAATTCTGGGAGTTAAAGTCCACAAGTCATAAAAGGGCCAAGTTTGAAGACCCCTGCTTGTGGACTTCAACTCCCAGAATTCCTCAGGCCAGGCACAGCCAGGTCATCAAAGGGCCAAGTTGGAAGACCCCTGTCTTAAAGCATCCTGGCTGAGGAATTCTGGGAGTTGAAGTCCACAAGTCATAAAAGGGCCAAGTTTGAAGACCCCTTGGAATAACGCTTCCCTTTTCAAGGCATGAAATAAGCAGGTGTTTCTCTTGAATGGAAAACCTTCCCCAGCTGAACAAAAGGGGAATAGAGGTGACTCACCACCGCCTCCCGATTCGAGACGCCAAAGGAAGCTTTGTGGCGCTTGGCGGTGATGAAGGCGGCGTTCTCCTGCAGTTTTTCCAAGAGCTGACGGACGGTTTTGCAATAGTTGGCAATCTTGCAATCCTTCAGAAAAGACTTCAGCTGGAGAGGAGGAGGAGGAGGAGGAAGACGGGACCGGAAAGAAACAAGACAGCAAAAAAAATTCCATGAATGGCTCTTTTTTAAAAAAAAAAGTCTGACTTGCCTAGAGTTTTCTATTCCTGTGTTTGGATCTGGCTGGCAAAAGTGCAAAAATTAAGATGGGTGGGATACAGCTTCCTCCAAGCCTTGGCTCCAATTTAAAGTTGGAATATATAAAATAATTCTTACGGTCTTGCCAAGTAGGGCGGGGAAAAAAAATCAAAAGAGGGAGAACGAAAACAGCCTCTAGAGTCACAAGCTGTTGATGGAGCCTTGGCGAAAGCGCTGGCCGCGATGGAGGCGGAAAGCCTGGATGACCGAGACAGGTCTTCCGGTGGCCCTTAGTGACCTCTGACTTTGAGGCCAGCAATAGTTGTCCCTGATAACCAAAGATCCCATTTTATATCTTTGCCTAACTCCCAAAAGGAGCTGATGGGCTGATGTGGGCCTAATTGCTTGGAAATCCAGCCTGGTTACGTTATCTAGTTAACACTTGGTTTAATTTGTGCCAAGAAAAGAGACAGCAAAGGTGTGTTTGGGCAGGCAGGCAGGCAGGACAAAAGAATGAGAAAGAGAGAGGAAAGGAGGAGAGGAGGAGGAGGGAAGGGCAAAAGAAAGAAAGTAAAAAAACAAAAGAAGGAAGGAAGGAAACAGAAAGGTAAGAAAAAACTAAAGTTTCCTGCTTGAGCAGGGGGCTGGACTAGAAGACCTCCAAGGTCCCTTCCAGCTTCTATTCTATTCTATTCTATTCTATTCTATTCTATTCTATTCTACTCTACTCTACTCTACTCCATTTCTATTCTATTCTATTCTATTCTATTCTATTCTATTCTATTCTTTCCATATATTTTTTTCTATTCTATTCCATTCATTCCATTCCATTGCATTGCATTCCATTCCATATTTTCTCTATTCTATTCTATTCTATTCTATTCTATTCTATTCTATTCTATTCTATTCTATTCTATTCTATTCTATTCTATTCCACTTCTATTCCACTTCTATTCTATTCTACAGAAAGAGTGAAATAAAAAGGGAGCGAGGGAGGAAAGATCTATCCAATTTCACATATATCATCTTTAAGCAGCAGCTGTTCTGTTGGAGCGTGACCTTCCCCAGTCTAACCAGCTCTGGACCACAGCTCCCATCCTCAGCAGGCTAGCTGGGGCTGATGGGAAAGCCCAGGCCGATCCTGGCTGAAGGGGCACCTATCCTACCTGCCTGCTTTGGAGACAGGAGTTTCCCCAACCTGAAGCCACGTTTCATTCCCCCCAAAACTAGCATCCTCTCTGAACGTCTCTGGAGGTTGATCCTGAGTTCCTGGGCCAGCTCTGAAGGGGAGGGGGGCTGGATCAGGCCCACCACTTGACCCCCTGGGGGGGGGAGAGGAGAGGACACACAAAAGTCTTTTGGAAAGAGAAGCCTTTCACCCAGCTCTCTGTGTGTGTGTGTGTGTGTGTGAAAACTAAGACCCTTCATGGCTGCTCATTTGACCTCAGACCCACCCCGACGGTGGCTTTCACCGCCCCCCCCAACGCCAGGACCACTGAAATATCGCCCCCCCCTCCCTCCCTCCCTCCCAGGCCTGGGAGAAGAACAGCCCCTTCTCTGCACACTCCGCTTCCTTTCTGTCCAAAATAAAAGTGGGAAGTGTATAAGAGCGGGAGGGACGAAGAACGAAGAACGTGGGGGCGCCTCCCCCGAGCCCTCCAGGCGCCCCCAGAGAAGGGGAGCGCTCCCTTTCATAATTTGCACGCTTCCTTTCACACATATACACAAGCACATCCTTGCAACCTCCAGCCAAGAGGAGGAGAAGACAAGGGCGCAATTCATGCTGCCGTGCTCTGCGGGAAGGCCGCGGCCTGGCACAGTCGGGGAAGGGGAATTCCAGCTGCCAGTCCTTCCTGCATTAATAATCCAGCTCTGGGTGGAAGGGGGGGGGACATCAAGCAGACGCTGGTTCTCCCCCCCCCATGCCCCCCTCCCTCCCTGACTCTCTCCCCCAGCTGCCTCAATTAAACCGATTCCATGCAAAGCTTGGGAAGGCTGATCCTGGATCGTAGTCCGTGCTGACCTCCTCTTCGGGGGTGGTCCGTCACTAGCCAGACAGGGGGGAGGGAAGCCCACCCCGAGGCTGGGGGGCAGGAAGGGGGGAAGGCCAGGCCAGGCTGAGCAGAGGGAGGAGAAGGAGGAGGTGGGAAGGGTGGACCCAAAGGCCTCAGATACGGACCCACCGTGAAGAAAATCCCATTTTCCAACAGCTCTACTGTCGTCTGCAGTGCAACAGGGTGGAAATCAAGACAGCCTTAAAATGCTCTAGCAGGGATTTAAAAGAAGGGGAGGGGGCATGCCTTTCCTGCCCTCCCCCCCTTTCAATGATTTAGCCAAGCAAGGCTAAATAAAGCAAGGCCATTATTGCGCAGAAGGACACGAAGGGCGTTACCAAGTAGGGTAATGAAACGTCTGCAAGCAAATTAACAAGTTTTGACAGCATCTCTGGCTAACAGGGATTCCCTTCTCCTGGAAAAGTGCACCGTTTTGCAAAAAAGACAACTCTCTTTTGAGGTTTATTTTCTGTACTACTGATTTTTAAGGTGAGACTCTAGTCCTGGGTGTGCTTGGAAGCATGTAAATGATTACTGGGTTTTGTTTTGTTTTTTGCTTTAGGCTGTCAACCTGGGGGAGAAAACCTGGGGATGCTTGGCAATTTTTTTTTTCTGGTTTATTTTAGCCACACAAACTCCATTTACCTGAAGGATGGCGGGCAGAGCCAGTTCTGGGAAACCGACTGTGTAGGACTGGCTGTGGAGATATTCTAAAGTCAGGTCATAAAGCTGTTCAAGGAGGCCATCCTAGGAAGGAAGAGAAGAAAAAAACAAAGCACAAAATTTGAAAAGGGCTTTTGAAGGCTAACTTCCTACTGAAGGAAGGGTGTAAACTACAGCATTCATAACCCGAAACTGAGTTAAATCAATGTTTTTCGACTTGGCGACTTTTAAGCAGCTGGCTTGGGAATTCTGGGAGTTGAAGTCCACCAGTTGCCACGTTTGGAGAGCCTTGCCCTAAAATATAAAACCTGCCCACTTCGCCTGCTTACACGAAAGGCTTTTTCTTGCAGATTGGTGTTGGAGAGCTTCAAGATGACGGCAAAGTTAACAGGCTTGGCACTCATTCGCCCCGGTTTCTTGTTGAAATCTACCTGCTGGAAAATCTGTGGAAAAAAGAAGAGAAAATAGAATGGAAAGGTCAACCAAGCATCAACAGAAGAGAAGGTGTGGGAACATATAGCTCTGCTGGCTGTCTTATATGGCTACTTCAATCGTCTCCAGCCTGCAGAAGGCCACTTGGTCCTCTTAAACTATACTGGGGTGAAAAGGACTAGGGGTGACCTCATAGCAGTGTTCCAATATCTGAGGGGCTGCCCCAAAGAAGAGGGAGTCAAGCTGTTTTCCAAAGCGCCTGAAGGCAGGACAAGAAGCAACAGGTGGAAACTCATCAAGGAGAGAAGCAACCTGGAACTAAGGAGAAACTTCCTGACAATGAGAACAATTAACCAGTGGAACAACCTGCCTCCAGAAGCGGTGAATGCTCCAACACTGGAAGTTTTTAAGAAGAGACTGGACAGCCACTTGTCTGAAATGATATATAGGGTTTCCTGCCTGAGAAGGGGGTTGGACTAGATGACCTCCAAGGTCCTTTCCAACTCTGTTATTCTATCACCCCCCGTTAAATGGCCATCCATACAAGATTGAGGAAGGCTTCCACACATCCCGACGCCAGCAACTTCTAGTTTAGTAGTGAAGAACTGGGCTAGAAAGCTAGGAGGCTGTGAGTTCTAGTTCCGCCTTAAGCACGAAAGCCAGCCAGGTGACAGCGAGTTCTAGTTCTGCCTTAAAGCAGTAAAGCCATCCGGGTGATTTTGGCCAAGTCACCAGGAGACAGTGAGTTCCAGAGCCAGCTAAGGCATGTAAGCCGGCGGGGTGAGTTCTAGTCCCACCTGAGGCATGAAAACCAGCTGGTGACCTTGGGCCAGTCACTCTTCCCCAGTCCATTCCACCTCAAAGTGTTGTCGTGGCGGGAAAAAATTGGAAGGAAGGAGGGTAAGGTATGTTTGCTGCCCAGAATTAGAAATAAAGTAATAATTCTGGGAATTGAAGCCCACCCATCTTAAAAGGGATCAAGGTGGAGAAACACCGCCCTAAATCAGCCCCTAATGCTGGTGGGGTGATTTGATCGCCCCCCCTGCCCGGAGCTACCCTACCCATCAGCCAATGAATGAGTCGATGGTTTGTGTTACTCTCTGCTAAACTCTCCTCCGTCAAAAGGCAGGAACCCCTTGGTGCCCTCCGGGATCCAAAGCAAAACCCTCCCTGGCGTTAGTGCCGCTCTACGGCCCCCGCCCCAAATTTATTCTAATGCAAGGGCCAGCTCGGCCCCCCGCACCAGGCCGTGGACTCCTCATCCATCGGGATTTTGTTTTGTTTTATTTTATTTTTAAAGGGCAAACGCTCATTATCCCCTCAACGTGCTTTCCTGCACCTTCCCTCCCTTCACACCGCTCGGTCTTTGCCAAGCGAGCAGAGCCGGGCGATGCCGCGGGGGAGGCGGTGAGGGAGGGGCGCCCTCGTTCCCCCGTGCCAAGAGAAGCATAAACTGTCAAGGCACGTCACCGATTTCCTGCTCATTTCCAGTGACAGCAGCTTGGGGAATATCGGCGCTCCCAGGGACCTCACAAGACGCCCGAGCTGTCATCGTGCGGGTGACAAAGTGTGCGTGTGTGTGTGAGGGGGGGGGGAGAGAAGCCGAGTGGGAGGGAATTACGGAGAAGGGAGGGCTGCCTTAGGTTGCTTCGGATGAAAAAGAACGGCAGTTCCAGCCAGGGTTTTTGCAAAGTGGGAATAGAAGGGAATCTGCGACAGGATAGCCGCAGCCCTTCCAATATTGGAGGGGCTGCCCTAAAGAAGAGGAAGGGAGGGGTTCATTTTAAACCCTTGATTTTAAACCCTGCTGGAATTGGGGATGTCTAGTTTAATGAAGAGAAGGACCAGGGGGGACAGGATAGCAGTGTTCCAGTATCTCAGGGGCTGCCCCAAAGAAGAGGGAGTCAAGCTATTCTCCAAAGCCCCTGAAGGCAGGACAAGGAGCAACGGAGGGAAACTAATCCAACCTGGAATTAAAGGAGAAATTTCCTGGCAGTGAGAACAATTTAACCAGTGGAACAAAAGTCGTGGGGGTGCTCCGAACACTGGAGTTGGTTTTTTTTTTTTAAGACAACTATTTTGTCTGAAATGCTACAGAGTCTCCTGCTTGAGCAGGGGGTTGGACTAGATGACCTCCAAGGTCCCTTCCAACTCTTGTTATTCTGTGGATTAGAAGACTGGGTGGTGTGGGGGGGGGGAAACTCCATCCGAGGGCTGCATCTATGCAAAAGGAGGTGACATGGCAGTTAACAGACCAAATTAGGGGTCTGTTTGAGGGTCTCTTTTGGAGTTTTAGAAGTGGAGAGGGGGAGGCAATCACTATCAAACCCACTCTTTTACAGGGGGGGTGGGGAAGGCTGAGAGTTAACGCTTTACATTCCCATTTTCACCTTTATTTGGGGACGGGGAAGAGAGGCGGTTAACATTTAGGCCGTTTCTGCCTGGAAAATGCAGATTTAAGAAGAACTGGGTGTAGACAGAGCCTGGAGTGGTTTTTCCCCCAGGCAAGCAGATAGCCCTGAATTCAAATTTATTATTTAAATAATAAATAAATAAATACATAAATGCAAGCCCCCAAATTTTGGAGCATTGCATTGAAGAATGCAAAAGGGGTTTTTTTCTTCTTTTTTTTTGCAACGTCTGGGGTCCTGCGTGCGCAAGCCTTGGTGTTCCTCCCCAAAGGCTGTCGACTCAGCCAGCCACATTTCCCTCCCACTCCCACCCAGGAGAGTGGGAGAGACGCTGCACCCCCCCCACCCCCCCCAGCATCGGATGTGACGGGAGGGCGGAGAGGCCAAACCAGCGCAAAACCACGGAACGTCTGGGTTGATCTATGCGGCTTGCCTCGAGGGAACGCTGCTCTCTACACACACAAAGACACACACACACACAGAGTAGGGTGGTGTGCAAGAGGCTGGGTTGGCAGAACCTCAGCAGAGAGGAAGGAGGTGGACGGGAGAGGGGGGCAGCCGTCCAGAAGCCACAAGGAGTCGTGGGGAGGCAGGAAGCAACAAGGATGTGGTTAACAAACAGACATTTGCAGCAACGTTTGGGGAAGGGAGAAAAACCCACAACAGGCTTTTTTTTTCACTTCCTGACGATTCGCAATGAAGCGTGGCGGTTTGGTCAACTCCCCCCCAAAAAAACCCACCAAGCCTTACCCCTTCCCACTCACTTTTTATTTGGGAGTTAAAGCAAGAGTCACAAGCAAACTTTGAAAACCGGAGGAGGAAAAGAGTGGCAAGGGGGAACGCTTAAAAAAAAAATCTGAGTTTATTTTTATGCAATGGGCGTGTGTCTGGTTGGTTCTGCTGGTGCTGGAGAGAGAGGAAATTGAAAGTTCAGGAAGGAACTGCCCACCTACCAGAATTTCTTTCCCCCCAGTTGTGAGATGAGGGAGGGAAGGAAGAGAGAGAGGGTGGCAAGCTGTAGAGCAGACATGTCAAACTCACGTCACGTGACGTCGCGCGGACGTATTGGAACTTTCCCCCCATAATAATAATAATAATAATAATAATAATAATAATAATAGTTGGAAGGGACCTTGGAGGTCATCTAGTCCAACCCCCTGCTCAGGCAGGAAACCCTATACCATTTCGGACAAACGGCTGTCCAGTCTCTTCTTAAAAACTTCCAGCGTTGGAGCATTCACCGCTTCTGGAGGCAATGGGGTGAACGCGGTTTCCTCGTGACACATCTGGCCCGCGGGCCGGCAGTTTGACACCCCTGCTGTAGAGGGTTGTGACTCCCTCAATGCGGAGAAGAGCGACAAAGAGGATTAGCAGGCTGGAGACTAAAATTTACAAAGAACTGATTGCTGGAATTGGGTATGTCTAGTTTAACGAAGAGAAGGACGAGGGGGGACATGATAGCAGTCTTCCAGTATCTCAGGGGCGGCCCCAAAGAAGAGGCAGTCAAGCTCTTCTCCTCTACTCACCTCCAGAATGAACGGCAGGACAGGGATGAAAGTCTGCGTGCTCTCCGATAGGAGGGTTAGCGCCCGAATGCAGTGCATGCGCAGAGGGTAGAAACGAGCGGTAGGTACCAGCCTGGAAAAGGAAAGGGATTTAAAAAAATTAAGGGGGGGGTCTAACCAAAATGTGTGCGCAATTTTGAAGGGGGATGAGCCACACAAGTTGGTATATAAATTAATCTCTTTAAATATCTGTTTTTATTTCCTGCACTTTTAGTCTTTCTTCTTAATTCTGTACAACGGCATGAAAAATCAATTGGTGACCATTTTCCAGATTTATAATCCCCTCGGTCGGGGGATCCAAATTCAGGCACTTGACAACTGATTCGTGTTTATGACGGTTTGCAGCGTCCCGGGCTGGTGTAAACCACCATCGGTGGCCTGCTAACAAGCAAAGTCAAGGGGGAAGTTAGATTCATTTAACAACCATGTGACTGACTTACAACAGCAGTGATCCACGTAACAACATCCGTGGTAAGAAAGGTCATAAAACGGGGAGAAAGCTGAATTAACAACAGTCCTGTTGAGCGAGAGAAACTTTGTGCTCAGCTGAGGCTGTAGGCAGGGACGACCTGTTATTTGCAATATAATATGTTTATTTAAAGATTAAAGATGGAAAGGTAACCTTTGTTGTCATTTAATGGCACACATTAAAAATGAAATTCCGTCGCCTGCTCTGAAAAGTGTCCACATGCATCATAACCCAGATATAGATATGCTACATACATGCATATGTATATACCTACCGCTTTAGATATAACTACGTATACATATTAAATCGCTGCCCATCTTTATTAAACTTCTATGATGCCTATTTCGCTGATGCAGCGATTCCTGGAGACTTACTCTATAATAAAAAGTTTAAAAGTACTAGTAAACAATTAAAATTAGGGGGGAAAATGGATAGAAAAACCAAAATTATGTTTTTAACTTTGCCTTTAAAAAATTCAAGTCAAGGCAGAACTTCCTTCCTCCTCCATAAAGGTCTAGCTACCCCCCCCAACAGCGCTCCTCGCCGTCCAGGCTGGACCCCTCCCCTTCATCTCTGCCAGCACAAGGGGAATTCACAATAGGCAGCCCACCCACCCACCCACCCCTGTGACCCCCCAAGGCATGGGAGAGCAGCAGGTTTTAGAAAAAACCACAAAGGAAAGAGCAATTCTTTCCCATTGCTAGCTATCCTAGTTATTGTCGCGAAACACATTTAAAATTCTACCCTGGACTCTCCCCCGGAGCAACGAAGGTGCCGCAGATGCTAAACCTCGCTTTCCCTTCTGTCAAAGCTCCCCAAATCCCTCTGCTGCCCCCATCCCAGGCACTCCAACTGCTCTCAAGGCTTTTTCACTAGGGACTAGTGCCATCTTCTGGATAGAGAAAGTACGTTTTTTAAAAAATGGAAATAAATCAGCACAGCAGCAGCGGGAATTAACCTATAGAACAGTGGTGGCGAACCTATGGCACAGGTGCCAGAGGCGGCACTCAGAGCCCTCTCTGTGGGCACGCGTGCCGTCGCCCCAGTCCTAGGCCACCAGCTGGGTTTTATAAAACTTTTTCGCTTTAGGCCTCCGCCGCCCTGTGCAAAAAAAAAAAAAGGTTCAATCAATCAGTCAATTTCAACTTCTCGCAGGGAAAAAAAAGATCTTGCAAAGTTGGAATTGATTGATTGAACTTTTTAGTCCCACCCAGTCTGCCGTTACCACCAAAGCCACGCCCACCCAATGAGCCACCCCCCCAATTGGCCACACCCATCCAATGGGCCACACCCACCTGGCACCCGACGATGCATAAGTGGGTTTTGGGTTGCAGTTTGGGCACTCGGTCTCTAAAAGGTTCGCCATCACTGCTATAGAAGTTGGAATGAATTTAAAGGCAGAATTGATACAGTTGGGTGATTTTTCCCCCCGCTGTCTTCCCCAAAAGGTTCAAATTGGAGAAAGCATCAGTGGGGATAAATTAAGGCTGAGCCACTCAATTTGTGGTGGGGATAAATTAAGGTTCAGTCATTCAATTTCTAGGGTAGTTTTTCTGGGTCTTCTTCCAATTTCCAACTCCAAGGTTTCGAGTATAGATAAAACTGGAAGGGGGTAAAACACCACCCAAATTCTAAACTCAAAGTCTAAATATTCAGAAGTGATTTACTTCTGAATATTTACTGTAAGTTTACTATTTGCCCTCTTTTTTTTAAAAAAAAAAGGAGAGTATGATGGCTTGTATAAGAATCTTTATTCAAGCATCAACAAAATAAGCATCAGCGGGATAGGCTGGGCGGGGCAAGAACTGGCCCAACATCACCTCGGTGCCTGAGTTGAGTCTTTATTTAATCATCTTAGCTCTTGAATATATTATGTAGGCTGACTTTTAGAATAAATATATTATATAGCCCTGAATAAACAGATTTGTGAATAAATAACATACAAGCCCTGGTGGCATAGTGGCTAAAGTGCAGCACTGCAGGCAAACTCTGTCCACAGCCTGAGGTTTGATCCTAACGGGGTTGAAGGTTGACTCAGCCTTCCAAAATGAGGACCCAGATTGGTGTTTTTTTTTGGGGGGGGGCAATATGCAAATAATGCTTTTTACACTGTCAACCGCCCAGAGAGCGTTGCATATTGCTCTGGCGCGGTTCATAAGCCTAAGTGTTATTGCTATGCTCAATCTTAGAATAAATCAAACCGAAGCCAAGTTTTAAAAATGTCAGTGTTTTTTTTAAAAAAGGAAACTTTTTTTTTAACGTTGGAATTTTGGTAAAAGGGGACTTGAGAAACATTTCCTTGTCGTGGATTGTGACTTTTTTTACAGGTGCAAAACGCGGGCAGGAATTCGGAGGGCTGCTAAAGCCGAAGAGAATTAATTGCTCAGAAGACTGATAGACCTGCCAAGACAGGCGAGAAAGGGCTTGACAGGACAATTAAGAGCCCCCCTTTAAGGGATGGAAAGACAGCCTGGGGGGGGGGAGAGCTTGGCAGGTGGGGAGGAAGCAAGCACGGAAAAAAAAATCTGATCCGTTTATCTTCACTGATTTTCAAAGGGACCCTGGAAGAAGAATCTGGATGCAACGTTAATAATCGAATGCAATAATAATCGAATAATCGAAATCGAATGCAAATGTCAAAATTTCCAAAAGAGAAGATATGTGTTTTCTGTGGTTACGTGGGTCTTTTTTTTTTAAAGCATCTTATCATCACTGACCTGATTTATTTAACCATCCCTGACCCCAAGCATTGGGGGGGGGGGGGAGCAGATAAGGATTTTTAACACAAAAGCTTCCATGCTTGAAATGTTCCTCTTGAAACTTGGAACTTTCTGAGCGCAAACTGTTCCAAATTAAAAACATTTTCTTACTCCTGCCTGCTATCACAACAAGCTGTCCCAGACTTACTGACTAAACCAGACAGTTGCTAAGTTAGTTTTGCCTCAGTTTACGACCTTTCTCGCCACCGTAGCTAAGCGAATCCCTGCAATGGTTAAGTCAGTGACGCTTCCGTTGACTTTGGTCACAAAAGAGGAACCACGTGATCCCGGGACACTGCAACCGTCATAAATTTGTGCCCAGTTGCATGCCAGTGTCTGAATTTTGATCACATGACCGTGGGGATGTTGCAACAGTTGTGTGAAAACTGGTTATAAGTCACTTTTTTCAGTGCCTTGTCATTTTGATTACACGGTCGTAAGTGTGAAAACCGGTCGTCACTTTTTCAGTGCCGTTGTAAATATGAACGATCACAAAACTGTGAGTTAGGGACTACCTGTGTTTCTTAATCTGGCCCTCTGAAAGTTACACGGTCAAGGGGGTAGGTGCCCAAAGGAGTAAACAATGTGCAGCTACTTACTTAATGCAGCCAATGATAACTTGGGTCAAAGGGTAAATCAGCGGTTGCATGATTTCATTTGGATGCATCGTACTCAGAGCCCGGCACCAAAAGTATAGGCAGTGGACGTACTGCCAGTTGTAAACTGACTGATAGTTTTCCTATTTAAAAAAAAAGAGAGAAGCAGGAAGTAATGCTGAAAAATTAATGAAGCACACCGTAAAATCCACAGCTGTTCAGAATTGTGATCAAAGCACTTCCGTTTTCTTCTTCCCTCCCACTCCTCTTTTCCTTTTGTGCCGTGACTTTTTAGAGTATGTG